TTGTATTAATTTAATTGGCATGCTTTTTATTGACTTTAATTAATTTTTATATTTTCTGAATGCATTGACTTTCTAAACTATAATTATTTGTTATTTAGTTCCTTCTAAATTAATTAATATTAGTTAGCTAAGCCTATTAAAAATATATTTTTTAAATATTAATTACGAGATGCTTTTAGATTATTTTTGCTATCAAGATTTATGATATAATATCAGGTCTTGTTATTTATATTATATATAAATAATTATAAGCCTAAATTAATAAAATAATGTATAAACCAAAAATGATAGAAAATGAAAAAGATCTTGTTTGTTAAATGAATCACAAGCAATCCATCTCCATGATTGTTCTAGATTCTAATCTTTCATCTAATTAAAGACTCCTATGTTAATAATGCATTGATGTTTTCAAAACTGATGCCTAGATTATTGAATTCAAAAAAGTTATCCAGATAATTGAAGATAATAAAATAAAATCATTAGATATTTTAGAGAATTTAATTAAATAAAATATTTAGTATATTGAGTTATTCTAAACTCAAGTCTTTAATTTGAAGTCTCATCTTGTTTAATAATTAGATCATTTGATTAATAATACAAAGGATTGGGTATTAAATTTATAATCAACAGGCTCAAAGTATTCATAATATAGTTTCTATTAAGAGTTAGATTTAATAATTATGAATTAATAATCAACTTAGAATGATCAAATAAATTTAAATGATCAAATTAAAATAATAAATGATGCTTGGAAAACTGAAGTTAATTATCAACTAGAAATATTCAAATCATTTAAAGAATATTAATAAAGTAAAGATATATTGAAGAATCTTACTAATTAATCTTAGTAGGAATAAATTAAATCCAATATAATTATTAATTAAATTATAAACTAAGATAAAGAGCAGAAAAAATAAATTACGGATAATGTAATAATTTAATAATAATAATTAAGTCCATATAAGTTATAATTTATAGATGATTCAATTCAACAAGAGGAATGGTGTAATGCAATTGTTTTTGATCCAACAGGAAAGATTATGGTATCAATTAATGGAGAAGATATAATAATTTGGAATATCAATAATAGAAAGATCAATCATGCTCATTTACTTCAAGGACATTCATAAAATGTTAGTTGTCTAATATATAGTTTGATTAATAATTATTTTATTTCAGGATCATTTGATAATTCAATTAGAATCTGGAAATATTAGAATAATAATTAGTGGTAAAGTTCCAAACCATACAATGAACATAAGCATTGTATTAGTTGTATAATATTAACATCAAAAGAAGATTAATTAATATCATGTAGTTTTGATAGATCAATTAAAGTATGGATTATAGATTTAAACAATAATGAATTAAAATTATTATACTCTTTAGAAAAGCATACTGATTATGTATTTTCTTTAAGTTTAAATCAAACAGAGAGAGTATTGGTTTCATGTGGAGTTGATGGTTAAATTATAATTTGGAAAAAATAATTAAATAGTTAGTGGTAATTTTAGTATGTTGTTATAATGATTGAGAATAAAATTTTATATATCTAACTATTAAACATATTTCTTTTTTAAATTCTTTATGTAAATTATTTTAATTAACTGCAATTATTATAATAAAACAATAAAAGAATATGGATTTCATGTCAAGTTTCTACAGGAAAATTAATTTATTTGGGTCCCATATTCAAGTCACAATTTATGTGTGTTTGAATGTAAAGATGAAGATTAATATCAAGAAAATATAGAAAAGAGAATTTAATTTTAAAAAGATAATCAAAGAGGTGTAAATTATTTGTTATTCCCAATAATATACAATAAAGATAAAAACCTGATATGTTTAAGACGTGCGTAACATATTTTCATAATTAAAGTGCAAATTAATGGATTTTTATCTATTGTTGAATAATTAGATTGTCAGGATTGTTATATATATGGATCCTTAACAAATAATGGACAATATTTAGTATACTGGGGAGAAAAGACGAAAAAATACAAGACTTATGAAATATTATATAAATGATAAAAAATAAGTTTTAATTTGAAATTTATAAAGAATTCATTTTTGATGCGATTTATTGAAAAAAATGAAAATGACAATTTAAAATATACTAAAATGTTAGTATTTAACATTATTATAAATTTATTGAATGTTTAATGAATGGGAAAATAATTTTTAGCTTTTTTGATTTTATAATTCTTAATATACAAAGTATAGGATATATTTTTTTTACATTTTTAACCTTCCACCATTAAACAACTTAGTTATCTTTCCTGTATTGTATGATAAAATTGATATCCATATAATATTAGAATAGTTTCAATGTTTTTTATCAACCTGTTATCTTTCAAGTAAAAATCTATTATAGACCCCTAAAGCATTTATAATATTAATATGATTATTTAGAGTCATAGACAAAGAGTGGAGCCACTATAACTTATCTTTCAAATTAAGGTGAAATTAAAATATGAGATGTTTTTTTTGAATCTTTTTAATTTATTTATATAGATGAATTTTTATGAATCCTTGTAAGAAATCTTCAACACAATATCCATGAATTAATATTTATTATTAATATTTGACGAGATATTTTTCAAAAGAGCATAATTTGCTTGAAAATTAATAATAATTTGATAACAACTATAGAACTAAAATAAAGGAAGTAATACAGAAAACAATTAAGTAAAATCTGGCATTGTTGTAATTTTTAAATTAATTTTTATTTAAATGGTTTGTAGATGGAAAAAATGATTTTTTTAGTTATTTATTCTAATATTAATTTATGTCACCAATCATTAATTAATTTATTAGAAACTTAAAAAATAATAGATACCTTCTATTTAATGATATATTGCAATATTCTAAATAGTTGACTCCATCAAATTCTTTGTGTAATTTCAATAGGATTTAAATTGATAGCAAAATTTTCATAATCTTTACTGAATAAGGACAGAGCAATGATAAATTAGAAATAAGCTAATAAATTCCAAACTCTATTATTTATTTAGATCCAGTAGTTTAAATTGGATAGATAATTTTCCTTTTTAGTTGATGAATTTAATGATCTATCTAGGCTCATAATAAAATTATGAAATTATATTATTTATTAAATAATTTTTCAGCTTTGATAGAAGAATAACAAAATAATATCAGCATCAAAATGTGAAAACCTATTATTTTAACTAGCACTCATGTTTGAATGAGAATTTACAATTATTGATAACTTCGATTAACTCTTCTTAAATTGAGAAAAATATTCATTTTGCTCTATATAAAAATTTGTTTAAATTTCCCTTTAAATAATTCCAAAGATTAGAAGATAATTTTCATTTGATCTTTAAAAGTATTTTAGACAGAGTATTTAATAATAAAATTGTTGCTATTATTGCCTTTTCTATTTGATTAGAAATTATAATAAAGAATTACAGAATTAATTTAGTTCAGAATGTGCTTTGTTTTTCGATTGATTCTTAAATATTGGATAAAAATCTAATGATAAATTAAATTATTGCAGTTTAAGAAAATCATTCTTTTATGTAAAAATTATCTAAATAATTTGATCAATAATTTAAGAGATCTACCTATAGTAATGATAATCAATTAAAATAACTTACTAGATTAGAGATTCAATTTGATTGAATGATATAATTCAACTAAAATATCACCTAACTTAAGGATTTGGGACATTGTTTAGAATAAATTGATTTATTAAACGTATCATAATAGAATTTTAGAGATTAGAATTATCAATTGATGATATATAAGTTTTAAATTATATATAATTTATTACTATAAATTTAATTTATTAGATTTGCATGGATATTTTTAAGTGCTAATACCTTACTCATGAATATGAAGAAATATTGGGGTTTTGCTTGCATCAAAAGTGTTAAAAAGCAACACAATATTGTTTTGAATGTTTAACTACCATTCATTTAGATCATTAAAATGACTGTATTCGATTTTCTAAAATTAACTTACTTATAAATAAATTCATAAAAGTGTACAATCAATAAAATAAATAATTAAAAGGAATCTCTGCATAAGTTTTGTATTTTTTTGAATAAATTTGTAAAAAAAATGAATAAGATATAAAAAAATTAGAACAGATGAACGAACAACTTTAAAACAAAGATTATTTGACTTTTAAGTCATAGATCAACATAATCAAAAATTTGTACTCAAAAGAAAAAGAAAATTAAACATGTATCCATAAAAATAATTATAATAGAAAAACAAATAATATCATTAAATAATAAAGTCGATACAATTAAGAATATAGTCACAGATTTAATTAAAAGTGATGATTAATTAAATTTTGATAATTAAAAACGGATCAAAATAACAGAAATGGATATTGGGTGTGATGAAAAAACACAG